AAAAAAAAGGGCACTTTCTCTCGAGGAAGAAAAAGGGCAGGTGCTCAAGCCCCCTTTGTGTGCACGTGCCTGAGCTCAAGACTTATCTCTTGTGGTTAGGAGCATTGTGCTTTTGTCGTGTTGTGAAAGTAACTTCCCTTACATTTATATTATATATATTAGATAGATTTAAATTTTGATATAACATTTTATTTTATATATATTTATCTTTTATATTATATATATTTTATCTTTATCTTACCTTGTATTATATTATAAGATTTGAGTCCAAAACTGTCACTAAAAAACTTTACATATATATGAAAGCATATTTTTATATATTTATTTATATTAGATAGATTTAAATTTTGATATAACATTTTATTTTATATATATTTATCTTTTATATTATATATATTTTATCTTTATCTTACCTTGTATTATATTATAAGATTTGAGTCCAAAACTGTCACTAAAGTCAAAACTTTACAGACATTTAATTCAGCAAAATTTGATACAAGGAATAAAACAAACAAAAACCTGTGTACATCATCAATAAACAAGATAAAGTGACAACACTGCTTTGTCAACTCGTCCTTATTTTTGAGCCCTAATTTCTTCTGTGCCAAAGACTGCTAGATCTACCTGTTTGATGTCTCTATACACAGCATATGATGGTTTGATGGCAAGGTCGAGTTCAGTAGAGACATCCAATAGCGTAGGTCTGCAGCCTCAGTGTGGATCCACTGTTTCAACTCTCTCTCTGTTTCCACAGATGTCATTCTCTCATCCTCTCTGGCTCTTTTTCTGTCGTCTCACTCATTGTGTTGTTTTCTCATTGCTCTTCACTCCTCGGTCCCGTCATTAATGCGTTGACTCGTGTGGGGGGGTCGTTCAGCTGCTGGCTGGGATGATAGCAGAGCCTGCTTTTCTCTCTGAGTATACTATCTTTGCTCTGGACCACTCAAATCGACCCAAAGCGGCCCAGGTGCCCAGTGCGGTGAGTCTGTCCTCACACATCGCCTCCTCTTCCTCACCCCTCGAGAAATAAAAGCAACCCTCTGTCCCCGTCCCGTCTGCGATGCCTTTGGAGGTTATGAGCTAGAGGAGGCCGAGTAACACCTGCTTGCAGCGTTTCTGCATAACTCAAAGGCATCTCGCTCCTAACCCCTGCATCTAATATCTTGCGTTCCTCTTTAGGACTGATTTGTGGGATGGCAGTTGCTTTTCTCCGTTTTTGTACCTCGGAATGGTTCCTCTGATTTGGCATCTCCAGGAATGAATGTTATTCCCGTAGTGTTAGATATTTTCATGGATTCCCTGTCCCGTATCCTCATAGCTTCCCCGAGGTTATCCAGTGTGGAATGTTCCCTTGCTCTTCCCTGAGAGTTCTGTTGATTTCCTTGTAAAATTAATTTGGCAAATTCTTTGTTTAAAGGTGTTTCTAAATTTGGATTATTGAAGGTTTTTTTTCGCATGACTCGCGTCAATATATCCCAGTGCATTGAACTCTGGAGCTAAGTGTCACCCTTTAGTTATTTTACGCTTATTTTCTTTTGAAAAATGTTGATTAATTTTAAAACGGACACAAGGAAGATCTAATGGTTATGTTAATCAATAATATAATATAATACATTATGATATGATATGATATAATATAATAATATATATTAATATATAATACATTTCATATAATAAATAACATTTATAATCTAATAATATAATTTCAATTTATATCTTTTATTAAAAAGTATGTATATATCATATCTTTACATTTTATATTAAAAAAAATTTAATCCAAGACTATCGCTCAAGTCAAAACTTTAGTTTAATAAAATGAAATATTTTTTGTCATAATAAAATGGAAATAATATATAATATAATAATACATTTTATATCATAGTAATAATAATATGTGGGATTTTATTTTTTGGTAAATATCCTAAACTTTGGCAATATTGTATTACAGTAATTCCAATCAAGCTATTTGAATTGAATTGAAATAGTATTAAATATCAGCTAATGAATATCGGTCAGGGCTGCGTTTAACAAAAACATTGCAAGTCTTGGTAGATGTAGAAACCATTGACACCAGTGATGCGCATGATCTACTTAGGTTCACAGTGATTTTGGTAAACACATCACCAACTGATATATCAGTCTATTCTCGTTTTTTTTTTCCTTTCTGTGATGTATAAACAAAATTAGCAAGACTTTTTTTCTGTTCTTCGCTCAGATATGTTACCTATTATGTTTACTTATATGTTCGCTCTTGACTGCAAACAGTTTCTTGCTAACTAGCATCCTCATAAAATGACTCTGCATGACTATCTGCATCATTTTTCATGTTGAGGTGTATTGAACTGATCTGAACTGATGCGAGTCATGTGAAAGGCTCTTTTGGCTCTATACAGTCCCCTATAGAGCATGCTCCAGCACTTTATATGAGTTTACACATGCAGGCATTAGTGGATTGTCTGTGTTGTTAATGTCACATTATGCAAAGCAGTATTATTTTAGTAATATTTATGTACTATTATAGTATTTATTAATATTTTGAATATTTAGATTTTAGCTTTTTTTTGTTTTTAATTTTAGTTTGATTTGGTAGTTTTGTTGTGCTTTTGTAATCATTTTTTATAATATTATATATATGTGTATATATACAGTGGTGTGAAAAAGTGTTGGCCCCCTTCCTGATTTCTTATTTTTTGCATGTTTGTCACACTTTAATGTTTCAGATCATCAAACAAATTTAAATATTAGTCAAAGATAACACAAGTAAACACAACATGCAGTTTTTAAATGAAGGTTTTTATATATATATATAATTATTATTATTATTATTATATATATTTTTTAATATCTGTGCTATTGTGACAGAGTTGTTTTTGTATTTATATACTATTATAATATTTTAATATTTTGAATTCGCTTTTATTTATTTAAAATTTATTTTTAAAATAATTTTAAGTTAATTTATAAGTTCAAGTTTTAGTAATTAAATTTATACAATTAAATATGTTCTTTTGTCATATTCTTTAGGTTTTTAATTTTTTAAAAAAAAAAATAGGTTTAAGTTTTCCATCTAATATTTATCATGCTTCATTTTATTGCACCTTTACTTCAAATAAAAGAAAACATTGAATCATTTTAGTTAACAATGTCAACACTGATCTGAAGCTTAAATAAGAAGCAAATATACTCAACCCTTTTACAGCCCTGTGCATCTGTAATTTGTTTTAGGCACAGTTTTACAGTAAGGCCACTTTACACGGAACCAGGCTGCTCTTTCCACTAGACTGACTGTGTTTGTGGAGACGGTAGAGGCTCAGCTCTTGACTGAAGGATTTATCTCTGTACATACAGATAATCCTCCACATACACCTGAGCTCATTACACACACATCAGCTGACAGACAGCACAGCCAATCACATCACACACACACACACTCATCATGTGATCTGCTGTATTACTGGCCTCATTATGATGTTCTTTGGTGATAAATGGGCAATATGATTATGCAGTCCTGTGGATATGTGTCTTTTTTTCATTGACATTTACAACCCTGATAATTCTGATGTGTAAAGTGGACTTAAACTTTTGTTTTTCATCACATAGTCAAAGTGTCCCTGGCCTTATCTGGCATATGCAAATGTGTTTAGCTCCTCACTCAGTAAACTGGAAGCATGTTTATTTGCTAAAATTGGTTGTGTGTGATGTTATGAGGGACACTGTTGGTTTAAGTGTCCTTCCTTTAGGTTATCAAAGTGTAGGTAATGTCTGATAATAATTGTCTTTATTATCTTTGGCCTGAAGTGCGTAGAGATTGCCTTCTGTATGTAGTACAGCAAACAGAAAGGGAGCTTCACTTGTTGATTTTGATGTAAATACGACTAGTTGTAAACTGACTTGCATAAAAACTGTTTTCAGCATGTTTTTTTTTTTTTTTTTTAAGTTATATTTATGGGTTCTTATGCCTTTAATGGACAGAATTTAGTAGTGATTGTAACTATATTACTGAATTACATGGCTGTCAAATATAGGCATGTTAGCCAAGTATAAACTGCCATTTTTTGCTACTACATCAATAACAACTAATAATAATAATAATATGATGATGATGATGATTAGTATTATATAGTATTACTATTAGTGTTATAATAAGAAGAATAACAAAATGATCATTATTAGCTGTAGTATAACTAATAATAATTATTTGTACTATTAGTATTATTCGTAGTATTATAATATATTTTATTATTATTACTAGCAGTATTATATATATCATTATTAATATTAATATTTATAATAACAACAACAATAGTATTATATAATGTTATAATTATTAGTATAATAATAATAGTAATAATAATAATAATAATAATGTATTATTATTATTATTATTATTATTACTATTAATAGTATTAGTGGTAGTAGCAGTAATATAAATTATTATAATAATTATATATTTTTTCCTTTAGTATTGTATTATTCATACCATTATAAATAATAATGTATGTTATTATTTAATATTTGTTATAGTATTATTATTATGTATTATAATTGGGGTTGCAAAAAGGTGGAAAATTTCGGAAACTTTCCAGGATTTTTTGTTAATAGTATTAGTGGTAGTAGCAGTAATATAAATTATTATAATAATTATATATTTTTTCCTTTAGTATTGTATTATTCATACCATTATAAATAATAATGTATGTTATTATTTAATATTTGTTATAGTATTATTATTATGTATTATAATTAGGGTTGCAAAAAGGTGGAAAATTTCGGAAACTTTCCAGGATTTTTTGGAATATTCCAGGGATTTTTGGAAAGTTTCCGGAAAATGACCGGAAATTGTCCACCCCTTTGCAACCCTAATTATAATTATATTATTATTAATAATAATAATTTTATTATTATTTATAATTAAGAAAAACATCAACAGTATTAATATTGATCATATAACAACAACAACAGTATTATTGTTATTATTATTATTATTATTATTGTTATTTTATTTTATGCATTGTGCTTAAATCTGTGTTTTATGAATTTAAAACAATTTAAGTAGAGTAAATTCTTGCCAATGTGCCTTGTTGCCAATGCTATACCTGAAAAAGAAATAATTATACAGTGTGCATGTTGCTTTTTTTCACGTATTAGTAGGGATAGAAAGCAGAATTTGACAATGATGATTCTTTCTCATGTCTGCCATTATAAACCGAGTAATATTACCCATGACTTCTTTCATCTACCTCAGGGAGAACGCTGTGGCCGCCTAACCCCTGCTGAACTCCACAATGCCAAACATACACACTCTCAGTAACCAGCTCCTCTAGCGGGTTCGAACTGATTGCAGTTGACAAAGCTGCTAGTGTAGTGCTGCTGTGTTTAACTCCTCGTTTGTGTAACGCAGTAGTTATGCTGTCTACGTTTGTGTTTAACCCCATGTGTTCCTCTCCGAGTTGCATGAGGCTAGGGTTGGTGTAACCAGAAGCCCCTGCATTTCTCGTAGCAAACACTAATACTGCTCCCAGAGTAATCGGGGTGCAGCACGATGGGCCGGAGGAATACTAACCCCTCCTGTTGATTGCAGAGACACACTTTCACTCATGTTTGTCGGTTCTGTTCTGATGCAGAGCATTAAAGCGGCCGGCAGCTCTCCGAGAGGCAGTGTGAACGGGGATGGAATCGCTTCTCCTCAGGTAAGTAATAGTTAATGTGCTTTATTTGTGTTTCACATTCATGAAATGTTAAAAGTGGACCAAAGACCTGTTCACATTGCATCTGAAGTGACTAAATGACATGCATTGTAGATGATTTGAACACAGTGTCTGATGCAGAATTTTTGTTGGCATACATGGCAGCAAAGAATCCTTAAAAGCATCAGTTTTCACAAAAATGTGAAGCAGCACAACTGTTTTCAAGAAATGTTTCTTGAGCAGCAAATCAGCATATTAGAATGATTTCTGAAGGATCATGTGACACTGAAGACTGGAGTAATGATGCTGAAAATACAGCTTTGCATCACAGGAATAAATTGCATTTTAAAATGCATTCAAATAGAAAACACATTTTTCACAATATTAATGTATTTTTTATCAAATAAATCTAGCCTTGCTGAGCAGAAGAGACTTCCTTCAAAAATATAAACAACTGAATAAAATGAATTTTGCACATTACTGTGTGTCAGACAGACATCGCATCTCCCTTTGCATTGTTTTAATGACAATTAAACACATTTTCCCTCAAAATAAGTTCTCATTGTAAACAGTATAAAAGTACTGAAGCATAATTCTTGTAAATTGAAATCCGCATAAATCAGTCAATGCAACATTAGGTGTGTATAAATACCAATTTACAGTTAGCATATATAATGTAAGTTATATATAAATAAAAATGTGAAATAAAAATAATAAAATAAATAAGTATATCATATATTGTAAATAAAATAATAATAATTATTTTTTCTATTATTTAGCTAATAATAATTACTTTTTACTATTAGAATTAATCTTAGTATTACAAATAATTTATTTTATTAGTAGTAAAATGATTAAATGACTTTATTATTTATAATAATAACAATACAAATAACAATAACATAATATTAATAATAATATGATTAATTAGTATTATATAGTATATTTTAGTATTACAACAACAACAACAACAATCATCATTATTAGTAGTAGTATAACTAATAGTAATTATTGTTTTTAGTATTAGTATTATTCTTAGAATTATAAATAATGTATTTTATTTTTTAGCTGTCATTTTTGAGTAATAGACTTGATCACAGTTTGAATCTTTGACCTTAAACAGAATCTACTTATTTTTCATCTAATTATCATTATTTAAAATGCTTGTATACTCAAAGCATTCGTTGTCCTCCAGAAAGAGGAGTCTCAGTCTCTGGCCCAGACGCTGCAGCAGAAGGTTTCTTCTGTGGAGTCTTTGCTCCGGGGTTCGGCCCGCGGTGAAGGGCTCTTCCGCTCCGGCTCCCGGGACAGTCTGGTCAGAAGCTCCTCCAGAGAATCGCTCACTCTCGTCGGAGAGAATGAAGCCCAGTCGTCACCGGCGTATGACCCTCCGTCGGACATCGAGAGCGAGGCGGAGGATTCGCCCGGCAGCGCTGAGAGTCTGTCCAAAGAGCAGCTCTTAAACCGCCTGCACCGGCTCGAGAGAAGCCTCGGCAATTACAGGGGGAAGTACTCAGAGGTGAGCGCTTTTAAACCTTCATTTTGGGTGATCTGATCGCTTGTGGTTAGGCCTGTCACGATAACAACTTTTTGTTGTGCGATATATTGCCCCAGAAATAATTCCGATAAGCGATATTATTGCCATTTTTTTTATGTAACAGCATAATAATGCAAGAAGGCCTACACACTTCCAAATGACAACAAACTTTTAATTATTTTTCCATCTACAGATTTTTCCCTGACCTTCTTTTCTCTGTAAATTAAGTGTGCACACTATTGCTGAAAAACACAATCACTACTCAGCAGTCAGATGTCTGCATGCACAAAGGCACAGATCCCTAAACAAGACCATATCTGCAGATGAAACTTTTTTTGTAGAAGCATTTTTTAAATTTGAACTAGCAGCACCTCATGACTACACCACGTAATCTACGAGAAGCTGCAGAAGACACAGGCGCAAGTGGAATGTACAAAACATGGTGACATTAATTGTTAAGTAAATATAATGTGCGTCACCAAAAATGATTGAGGTCATGTACATATATTGCGCGATAAGTCGATGTATTGATTATTGCGACAGGCCTACTTGTGGTCAGTCAGACTGTTTGATGATTTGAGATCAGATCTAATTATGATTTTCTAGTGATTTTGTAGGGGAGGGTCTCAGATTACTTGTGGTGAGAAGTCAAACACAAAAGCGCACAGTGCTTGTTATATGTAGGTTGTCACTTTGGAAGATTGTAAGGTAGTTGTGACTTTTTGTCTCACAATTCTGACTTATTTTGACGTAGTATGATATATTATCTCACAATTGTAAAAACAATGTAAAAGTTGCAATTAGCTTTTAATTCTTTTTTTTTTATGGATTAAAAAATAAAACAGTAATTGCAATTTAATATCTCACAATTTGGACTTTTTTCTCTCAACTGCAAGTTAGTATCTCACAATTTAGACTTTTCTTCTTGCAATTGTGAATTTTTATCTTGGAATTCTGAGAAAAAAAGCCCAGATGGTGGGATCAACATTTCCCAATTCTGCTAACTCACAATTGCAGAAACAAGGTAAAAGTCACAATTATTTTTTTTATTTTTAATAAAAAAAGGTAATTACAACTTTATATCTCACAAATCATAATTCTATGTTTATGTCTCACAATTATATCTTGCAATTTTGAGTATACTTCAAATTTTGAAGGAAAAAAAGTTCTGAATTGTGACATATAACCTCAGAATTGCAAGAAAAAAAGCCAGAATTGAGAGATATAAAGTCACATTTACCTTTTTACATTTTTATTCTGTGGCAAAAATAAGCTTCCACTGGTCACATCAGATACTGTTTACAATACAAATGCTTATTTTTATTTTTTTTTACCTATGTGGCCTTGAACACCTCTGATCACAAGATGCAAACAGTTTTCACGGTCATTTCATTTCAGAACTTCGATTTATTGATGCAATTTATTTTGTTTAAAATCAACTTTCTGATTAATTTTTGTAATTTATGAGATTTATGATCTCCCTGGGTGCTGTCATGTTCATGTTACATACTTGGATCTCAACAAAGTCATTTCATTCTGTTCATGAGTTTGGAGATGCGTTATGATTTTTTTTTTTTTCGCCAAAATGTCTGAGTGTAAACCAGAGGTGCATCGTTCAGCACCAGTGAATGAGCGAGCAGTGCATTAATGTCTGACAGTGTTTCTGTGAAGTCAACTTTTATAATGTCAGTCTGTGATCTGTACAACACGTCTGCTCCGGACAGGTTTAGTAAGGTTCTAATGTCAATTGCAATTGTACAAATGTTACAACACTATTTTAGATGCTTCTAGTATTGTTGAGCATCTAATTCAAAAGATTTGTTTCTTAATCACTTGCCATATATATATATATAAACAGACATTTAGGGATAATCCCCTAAATGCTTACTTGAGATGAAAACTGCAGTCTTTGTTGTCCATTAGTATTTTAACCAGTGGCCTCAGATTTCAGATTTCAAGCCACTGAATCTAAAGGTCTGCCATTCCTGATGCATAGAGTTAGTTGCAAATTAAAGCACAAACTGGAAAGTTTCACTGAATATAAAAGGTTTCTGAGATGTAATAGTGTAAAACTTTTCACAAAAAGCTCTTTGGCTCATTTGTAATCGCTGCGTTTCCTCTGCTGTAGGATGTGTCCCGAGATAATGGCAAAGTAATAAATCAATAAACTTTGCCGCATGAACATGCGTTGCATATGGTTAAGCCCTCATTAAGAGATTATTTGAACAAGTCTGTTTTGTTCAAGAAGAGCTCAGGCCTCTAGTACTGACTGTGCACATGAATCATGACACAGTTGAACAGAAATCTGAGATAATGCACTGCTCTGACAGTGTGTGGTTTATCTGACCTGTTTACACCTGATCCAGTCACTCAGACCGGCTCAGGAATTAGTGAGGCGTGCTTGATGCCAGATTGCCATTGTTGTGTGTAATCGTTGGTGTGTCCCAGACAACATTGAAGTACTTCAGGTTGGTAACATGAAATGATTTTGGAAAAACACATATTGTATGCTTGCCCAGGATATAATGGAACAGCTTTTTTATTCCTTACATCACATTTATGTAAAATGTGACCCGCTCTTATATGAAACAGTGTTGTTATTGTTAACCAACACTAAAGCTATTAAAAATTATTTTTGGTAATTGAAAGAAAGCTGAAATAAAATAAAATATAAATGGAAAATTTGAAAAAAAAAAAAAAAAACTTTGAAAGGCATAAACTTTCGTAAACAAAAATTAAGTTGAAGTACTAAAACCATCCATCCATCCTAAAATTATTGAAATTAAAATGAAAATTAAAGATTTATAGAAATATAAAAAACTAATAAAAATGACAAAACATAAAATTACTAAAACTTAAATATTAAAACAGAAAAATAAAAAATATTAAACTTAAAAAACGTAAAAATGAAAACTAATTTAAGTGAATATGAAATATATTTCAGCTAAAGTGCTAAAATCATCCATCAATCTTTAAATTACTAAATTGAAAATTAAAAAAAAATTGAAAACAATATAAAACTAATTTTAATGAATATTGGCAACTAACTGAAATCAATCAATTAAAGCTGAAGTACTAAAATCATTCATCCATCATAAAATTAGTCAAATTAAAACAGAAATAAAAGTGTTTTAAAGCTATATAGAAATATTTTAAGAACTCAAGCAATGTAGGAATATTTAACAAAAAAAAAAACTAATAAAAATTACAAAACATATAACAAAATTACTAAAACTTAAACTAAAATTAATTAATTAAACTGAAAATAAAAAATATGAACAAATAATATTATATTAGTAATATTAAAATAACACTGAAATCCAATCACAAATGATATTGATAACTGAAGTTACATTTATAATAATAATAATAATAAATTATTATTATTATTATTAATATTATTATGCACATGACCAAATTAAAATTCCCTCCTTTACTTTAGTTGTCAGATAGACTATTGCCATTTTTTTTCAGTAGTGTTTTTTTTTTCCAGTGGTTTTTTTTATTTACTTTTTCTTAAAAATGTGTACATTTCATGGAGTATATTCAATTCAAGTTTATTTGTATAGCGCTTTTCACGATACAAATCGTTGCAAAGCAGCTTTACAGAAAATTAAGTTTCTACAAATATATTTAGTAGTAGCTTATCATTTGTGATGTATATCCACTGGAAAGAGGGATTGTCCTCCTGGTATCAACACCTGACCTTCAACTAGTTGAGTCATACACAATGCATTGACTAGTGGCAGAACTAATCACAACTAGTCAATAATGTAGATTATACACTTCTGATCAGACGTGATCACTGATTTGGGAATGGAACAGTTTGATTTGTGAAATGATTATTACTGGACTGATGTTTTCTCTCTCTTTCCTCTCTCTCTCTCTCAGTTGGTTACAGCTTACCGAACCGTACTCCGGGATAAAGAGAAAACGCAGGTAATTTCATATTCAGTCGATGCAGCAGAATAAATGGCTGTGGTTTGCGTGCAGCTGGAGGGATGTTTTCCTGATGTTTTTCCTTTAATGAGTTTGCTCTGCTGTGAGGTTTGGCGCTGATATCAGTCTGTCATTCCTCTCTGTCTGTGTCTCTCAGGCCATCCTCAGCCAGAGTCAAGATAAAGCCCTGAGAAGAATAGGGGAGCTCAGGGAGGTTCGTCTCTCGCTGTTCGTCTGGCACACACACATTAATTCTTCATCACAGGCTCTGCCGTCAATGTTTTTCTACCTCTGATATCTCTATTACTGCTCGCTTCACACTGTGTACTTAAAGGCGGCATGAAACGGCATTCACAATGCAGTCTGCAATGTGACGTCTTTCAGAGACAGTTTAGGATTTTGTCTGTCTGCTTTTGATTGATTGGGCACATTAAATTAAATTAAATTAAATTAAATTAAATTAAATTAAATGTGACAATAGAAAATAAAATAAACCATGAATAAAATAAAAATAAACCATGTATGAAGCCGTGTTATTTTAGTATGATTGGGATAGCGTTATATACTATTGAATCAGTTTTTGTTTTTATAATTTCATTTTAATTTCAGTTAAAGTTTTAGTAATTTTGTTGCATTTTTGTCATTTTTAGTACTTTATTAAATATGTCTATATAATTTTTATTTTATTTATTTTAGTGCATCAATAAAACTAATGTAAAATAATAAATGTAAATAAATAAACTAGCATAAATAAAGGTTGTAGTTGTAATTAACTATAATAAACTTGGCATGAAAAAAATACATGCATGAATAAATTAAATAATGAAAAAACAAATATATGGATTTAATGTGCTTTTTATTTTTAATTGATCATTCAAATTGATATATATATATATATATAATGCTGTATATATGTAGATATGCATTTTTTCTAATTTTCTAATTGTTATTTTTATATAATATTTTAGATTTATACATGATATTAATATATAATTTATATATTTATAGTCAATAATCACCCAGCATGAGGTGATTATTGAGCTTCACCATTGTGCTATTGAGCAAAATAATTGTTTTTATTTTATTTTATTTTATATTATTTTATTTTTATTTATTAATTTTTTTGTCATTTTATATTTTATTTTATCCGTGCAGGGTTTGTTGTAGTTGATTTAATAATTTTTGTATTATTATTTTTTTTATTTTATTGATACATTATATATATATATTTTTTTTTTTAATTCATACATGATTTATTTTTATATTATATTATTTATTTCATTTTATTTTATTTTTTTATTTGGTACATTTTATTTTATTCATACATGGTTTATTTTATTTTATTTATTTATTTTGTAAATGCATTTTTTTTTTTTTTTTACAAAAAAAGTTTATTTTATTGATGCAGAGTTTATTTTATTGTTAAATAAACTTTCTAATTGTTACTTTTATGTAATATTTTAGATTTATACCGTTTTTTACAGTCTATGATTTATACATGACATTAATATATCATTTAAATATATGCATTTCTTAAAATACTTTCGAATAATTTCTGTAACATGTTACATACATATATCATTTTTAGATTTTATTATTAGTATATAGTTGTATTTTTTCTCAATATTGAGCTATTGAGCCTCATATCTCCTCCTCAGGAGCTTCAGATGGACCAGCAGACCAAGAAACACCTGCAGGAGGAGTTTGATGCTGCTCTCGAGGAGAAGGACCAGATGATCACTGTGCTTCAGACGCAAGTACACAAGTGTTCTGTGTGTGTTTATCTTGCATTGTGCATTTCCTAGTTATCCGAGGTGATACTGAAGCTGTTTGTCTTCAGGTGTCTCTCTTGAAGAAGCGTCTGCAGGCGTCTGGAGGTGTGCTTTCCTCTGAGGTTGAGACCTCTCAGTCCACAGATACGGTCGATGCAAACACTGACACTCAGAGCCCCTCGAAAGATGACGGCTCGACGCTTAACACAGGTGTGTGCAGGTTTCCAAGCTCACGGAACATTTTTCTACACTAAAGTCGTCTTTAACCTGTTTGTGTTTTGTGTGTGTGGCCAGCAGAGGGCAGCGGAGAGCCGGGCAGCACGGTGGACCTTGAGGCGCTTCAGAAGCGAATCAAAAGGCAAGAGAGTCTCCTGCAGAGATGTAAAGAGATGATTCGATCCAGTAAAGAGCGCAGCGCTCAGCTGAGCAGCGAGAACGAGGTTTTACAGCAGCAGCTGCAGGAGAGACTGCAAGAGCTTGAGAAAATCAAGGTACAGAAACATTAAATAAGACAAAACATGAAGAACACCTAGTTTTTGCAGTTATATTGAGCAAAATAACATTTTATTTTTATTCATTTTTATTTTATTTTATATTATTTTATTTATTTATTTTTGGTCATTTTATATTTTATTTTATTCATGCAGGGTTTGTTTAGTTGATTTAATATTTTTTGTATTTTTATTTTTTATTTTATTCATACATTATTAATTAATTCTTTAAATGTTTTAAAATGTTTTATTCGTACATGGTTTAGTTTTATATTATATTATTTATTTAGTTTTATTAGATTTTTGTTACATTTTATTTTATTCATACATGGTTTATTATTTTAATTTTATAAATAAATTTTAGTTTAGTTTATTGATGTAGAGTTTATTATTTTATTGTTTTATTTTTATTTTCATTTGATATTTTATTTATACATGATTTATTTTTTTAATATTTTGATTAATATTTATTTATTTTTTAAATTATTTTTTCATGTTTTTAATTTAATTTTTCATGATTTTATTCATGTATGGTTTATTTATTTATTTTTATTTTTTTGTTGCCACATTTTATTTTATTCATACATGGTTTATATTATTTTTATTATTTATTTTTATTTATTTATTAATTATTTAATTTTATATATTATTCATTCAGAAATTGTGATTTTTTTAATATTTTGATTAATTTTTTTTTTTTTTTTTAATTATTTTTTCATGTTTTTAATTTAATTTTTCATGATTTTATTCATGTATGGTTTATTTATTTATTTTTATTTTTTTGTTGCCACATTTTATTTTATTCATACATGGTTTATATTATTTTTATTATTTATTTTTATTCCACACTTCTCCTGTTTGTTAATTGTTTTCTGTCCGGAGGCCCTTCTAGAGTGTTTTTTCCTAAGTTATTTGTGTCTCCCAAGGGTTGGGTTGAAGAGGGTCGGGAAGGAAAACTGTTGAAACTTAACAGATTACAAGAGCTTGATTTTCAGGTTGCCGGAAAGAGAGACCTTTATCAGATATGTGTTAAAATTGATTATTTTGAGCATATTAAAGACAGAGGTGATACAAAATGGAGAGGTTTTTTAACCGTTCCTGCTGAACTTTCTCCTTCTTTGGAGGCTTTTCTATAAGGGTCCTCTACCTAAACGATCTGGTGATTTGCAGTGGAGGCTACTACATTGTGCATTGCCAACTAATTCTCACATTTCTAAATTTAACTTGAATGTTTCGCCATCTTGTATTTTCTGTTCATTACCAGAATCTGTTTTTCATGTTTTCACTGAGTGTTTTAGATTGGCTCCATTATTTGCATTGATAGAAGGTTTACTTGGGAACTTGGGTTTTGTTTTTAACAAGACACTTTTTATCTATGGATGTAAGTATTCAAGAGTGCACAGACAGCAGTGTACTGTTGCAAACTTCATAATCGGACAAGCCAAACTAGCCATTTGGAAGTCATGTAGACTGGCTGCTGAAGGACGAAATATAAATATTCTTCAGCTTTTTACTGCTTTGGTGGAATCCAGAATAAGAGTGGAACATAGATTCTTTCAATTGACAAATAACTTGCTTGAGTTTGAGTTCAAATGGTGTGCAAACGGAGCTTTACTGACACTTTGTGAGGATGGGGAAATAATGTTTAATTGGTGATATATGGTTGTCATTTTGATTAGGATGTTTTTTTTTTTTTTTTTTTTAATTATTTTTTCATGTTTTTAATTTAATTTTTCATGATTTTATTCATGTATGGTTTATTTATTTATTTTTATTTTTTTGTTGCCACATTTTATTTTATTCATACATGGTTTATATTATTTTTATTATTTATTTTTATTTATTTATTAATTATTTAATTTTATATATTATTCATTCAGAAATTGTGTTAGTTTATTTGATTTTTAAAAAAAAAAATTTATTTACTTTAATTTATTCATATTCATAATGATTTATTTTCTGTTGTATTTTTTCTTTTATACTTGCATGGTTTATTTTACGATGTTATTCATGCATGTTTTTTGTGAAATTTTATGGTTTATTAATGCGTGGCTTCTTTTATTAACTTTATTTTTTTAATTAAGTAATGTGTTATTTTATTTCATGAATTAATGGTAATGGAGCGTGTTTGCGGCTGGGTGTGTGTGCTGATGTATTTGGGTGTGTGTGTGTGTGTTTGTGAGGTAGAGGGCTGAGAGTGTGTTTCCTGTGGATGTGATGTGTTTGTGCTGTGTGTGGGAACAGCGCTCAGCGGGACAGTGAGAGCAGAGGTTAACATTAACCTCTCCCTGCCTCAAACAGTGTACGGACACACATTACAGCCCCTCCGATCCCACCGTCACACTCGCTGACACTAAAACACACCAGCTGAAGCTCAACTCAGGGATTTACTCTGCTTTTACTTTGCTCGACCACTAAATCATTTCAGATTTATGTGAAACACTGAAGCACTGCATTAAATTAAACTAGAAGAATAAAACTAGATTTTTACTTTTTCTGAAGACAAAGTGCACTGGAAAGAGCCATTCATGTCCGAAGCACATAGTCGTGCACCAGAGTTTAATTTTAAGCTGTAGAAGTTTATTCAGGTTGAACGATTGTAATAATAATTCTTGCCTGTGCAAACACCACAAATTATTACAAAAAATAAAATTACTTAATTTTAATAAATGTAAAAAAAATATTTTAAAGAATTAATAAAATATAAATATATAATATATAATTAAATATATAAATAAAAATTTTTTTTATTTTTGTTTATTCTAATACCATTTAAGTTTATTTGATTAATATATGTATGTTATGCATTATATCGAGATATAAATTAAATTTTCAAGTTTCAATAATAATATGTAATATAATAAACAAATAATTGTTTTTATTTTTTTATATATTGGCTTATTTTTATTTGCGTTTGGTTTTGGTCGAGTGTCAATTTTGCACTCTGTGATCAAAAAATATTTAATTTAGCAAAGTCATTCATTTAGCAGACACTTTTATCCAAAGCTATTTTTTTTTGTGAGTTGTATAATATATAATTAAATATATAAATAAAAATAAATAAATTTTTTTTTATTTTTGTTTATTCTAATACCATTTAAGTTTATTTGAATAATATATGTATGTTATGCATTATATCGAGATATAAATTAAATTTTCAAGTTTCAATAATAATATGTAATATAATAAACAAATAATTGTTTTTATTTTTTTATATATTGGCTTATTTTTATTTGCGTTTGGTTTTGGTCGAGTGTCAATTTTGCACTCTGTGATCAAAAAAGATTTAATTTAGCAAAGTCATTCATTTAGCAGACACTTTTATCCAGAGCAATTTTTTTTTGAGTTGTGAGTGCCAAACTCTCCAGTTCAGGAAACAGGAAGTAACCGGCGTTGCTTAACAGAGTGGCGTTCTGCGCTAGAGGCGACGCGCCACAACCGCTGGCTGCTGTCCTGGGCTGTAATTGAGGTTTGATTGTCGGTCTGCTGTGATGTGGATGTGGCCTGCTTTGTGTGCATGTGTGTTTATCTGTGGCGGGAGACACGATAATTATTCACAGCTCCTTGGTTGCTGTTTTAATGTAATCGCTTGGTCATGAAAGATATGCTATAGTAATCTGGAAGATCAGTATGAAGGCATTTAACAGTTGCAAAGCCTTGCATTACAGTGTTTTCGGCATGTTCTTAGGTGTATCGCAACAGAAAAGACCCCACTTAAAATGGTTTATATGCTTAGCCGTTCAAATTTTGTGTAGCCAGACTTATTGGATGTGCAAAGTGTTTTTGATATACAGTCAAACATTTTTCCACATTTTGCAAGTTAAAGTTTCAGGTCAGTACATTTCCAGCTGGCCTCTGCATTTCCAAGCAACTCACTTTCTAATCCAGGTTGTCTAGACCAGTTGGCTCTGGGGTCTTTATGATAGATGCTCAATAAGTGTTGATTATTATTCTGAGAGTAATGTATTGAGATCCATCATCGCACACTCATCGTCTGTCATCCGTGTGTTTACCAGGAACTCCACACTACAGAGAAGACGAAGCTGATCACGCAGCTGGGAGACGCCAAGAACCTCATTGAGCAGCTGGAGCAGGACAAGGTGAGAAGGGTTCAGCTATGTTGTGCGTCTGCCACGGGACGGTTTGTGAGCCAGCATGAGTAGAAGTACAAATACAAATTCCACTGGCCCTCTAAGCGAAAGACAAAGATGAATTATCCCGGAAAGGCTTTTTAAAATGATCGGAAAACATATTTCCTGTGGGTCGCTCACTTTGACACGTTTGCGTATAAAAGTAAGACTGGAGATAATGTCTTGCTTATTATTTTAGGACGGTGGTCAAGCAGGGTCCAAATTGAGCTTTTCTCTGCCAATGGAGGGTGAACTGACCAGTTAAAATATTTTTATAGGCCATAAAATTGTGTATTTTATTATTTAAAATGTATATGTGTATATTGAACAAAATTATAAATGCAACACTTTTGTTTTTGCCCCCATTTTTCATGAGCTGAACTCAAAGATCTAAGAGTTTTTTCTATGTACACAAAAGGCCTATTTCTCTCAAATATTGTTCACCAGGAATTGTGTACAGATCCTTGCAACATGGGGCCGTGCATTATCATGCTGCAACATGAGGTGATGGTCTTGGATGAATGGCACAACAATGGGCCTCAGGATCTCGTCACGGTATCTCGGTGCATTCAAAATGGCATCAATAAAATGCACCTGTGTTCGTTGTCCATAACATAGCTTCCCTGAGACGGTTTCTGACAGTTTGTGCAGAAATTCTTTGGTTATGCAAACCGATTGTTGCAGCAGCTGTCCGGGTGGCTGGTCTCAGACGATCTTGGAGGTGAAGATGCTGGATGTGGAGGTCCTGGGCTGGTGTGGTTACACGTGGTCTGCGGTTGTGAGGCTGGTTGGATGTACTGCCAAATTCTCTGAAACGCCTTTGGAGACGGCTTATGGTAGAGAAATGAACATTCATTTCACGGGCAACAGCTCTGGTGGACATTCCTGCAGTCGGCATGCCAATTGCACGCTCCCTCAAAACTTGGTTTTTTTTGTGCTGTGTGATAAAACTGCACATTTTAGAGTGGCCTTTTATTGTGGGCAGCCTAAGGCACACCTGTGCAATAATCATGTTGTCTAATCAGCATCTTGATATGCCTCACCTGTGAGGTGGATGGATTATCTTGGCAAAGGAGAAGTGCTCACTAACACAGATTTAGACAGATTTGTGAACAAGGCCTTTTGTGTACATAGAAAAAGTCTTAGATCTTTGAGTTCAGCTCATGAAAAATGGGGGCAAAAACAAAAGTGTTGCGTTTATAATTTTGTTCAGTGTATATATACATTTGAAACATTATTAATTTATATATTGATAGAAATACATATATTTCATTATTTTTTATAATAATAATAATAAAGCATGTAATTGAAAATAATAAAATGTAAGTACATGAAATAAATGTATATAATAACATACATAATGTATAATTATATTATATAATTACAAATAATATATATAATATATTATGTTTTTATATATTTTCATTATTTTTAATATTATTTTGTATATAATTTTTATTTGTTGCAGAATTTGTAAGTTGCAAAGTTGCATTTGTGTGTGTGTGTGTGTATAAAATCTATGAATAAACATTCCTATCTATCTATCTATCTATCCATCATATATATATATATACATATATATATAATTGTTTGTTATTATATAATAATATTATTTTTTACTATTATTGAAACAATTATGAAATATTGTATATATTTAAATACAGTATATGAATTATTTTTTATACCAAATATAATTATTGAAATATATTAATTATTGTTGAAAAATTAAATTTATATTTTTACATATATAATGTATAAATGTCATTTTTCAATAATAATAATAATATGTAACATATTCCAATAACTATATATACTATAACATACAATAAATGGAAACAATATATTTTTATATTTTTATTTTTATTCAACTTGGTTGAATGTTGATTTTGCACGCTATGATCAAAAAATAGTCTTTGAAATGTCATCTAAGCTAGATTCATGTGAAATATGGAGAGCTGTCTGTCTGCTACTGAGTTGTGATCAAATCAGTCATGTTGTGTTTAGCCTTTGACCTTCACCCTGCAGGATAGAGATCATTGCCACTTGGGTCATTGTATGGAATGCGAAAGAGCGCAAACATAAGTCAGAAACAATTAGAGGTGCGTCCTCAAACTGAGCACAGAACCTGCTGTAAGGGACAGGTACCATATTTGTGCTAGAGACTATTTGGACATAATCAGTAGTGGATTTCAGAAAATGAAAAGGTAACTGCAATACTGTGCATTTGAGGTTTCGTTTTTCAGGGGCTTTTGAAAATCAACATCCCCAATGAAGTCATATGAGCTTTGCGTGAGGGATCAGACCAAAATATGATCATACTGACTGAAAATCTGGGATGAGTGCATTTAATTTTTTGGTGAACTACCCCGTTAATGCTCACCTATGGCATTATTTTGAAGGGAATGGTCATTGCTGAAACCAAGCGTCAGATGCATGAGACTTTGGAGATGAAGGAAGAGGAGATCGCTCAGCTGCGCTCCAGACTCCTGCAGACCCTCGCTCAGAAAGACGAGCTGCAGGAGCAGAAAGAGAAATCAGAGAAAGCAGGTGAGTGAGACTATCCCCTCTCTCTGTTTTCCGCTCTTGTGTCTGCTTGACCTAAATGTACTTTATGTGACTCTTTCCCAGCATTTGAAGAGCTGGAGCGAGCTCTAAGTGTGGCTCAGCGGGCAGAGGAGGCGCGCCGTCAGCTGCAGGTGAGCGTGGAGGAGCAGGTGAAGCAGGTGGAGAAGGCCAGTGAGGAAGAGAGGAGAAGCTTGCAACAGGAGCTGACCAGGGTCAAACAGGAAGTGGTCACCATTATGAAGGTGTGCATGAAAAACACAGGGTCAGAGAGAGGGGGGAAAAGCTAAATTTGGACTATTTGTGCCACAGAAAACTATAAAAAAGATCTTTTCAATATTAATAAAACATCTGTTGCTGTGTCATGCTTTTTGTTTTCACAGATGTAACTTCTCAACATCAGTATTGTTTGAGAGCTACATCCTGTTAAACACTGGATGGTTTTGCAGAGATGCTTTAATTTAGACACTAGGATCAAGAATATTCAATCATTTTGTTTTGCGTTTTGATATGCTGCTTTTGCCTTTTCTCTTTCCCCATTTGCACTTGACCGGTTTAAAGTTATTTTGCCTGGAAAAGCCATCAGTCCACTCTCAGTGTCACATTCATCCTGAGATTTGTCTGGATGAGCGGTTAAACGTTCATGACTGCACAGTTCCCATGAAACCTGTGTGTTTTTATGGATCTGCACACCTTTAGTCTCTTCCTTTGTGTGTTGGAGTATGATTCATTAACTAAAGGGCAGTAGTAAATCAAAATTGACCAAATTGATGCCACATTTACAGCCCACCATTCTGCCTGCATGTATCTGAGATAGAGCTTTATTTTTGACAAAGAAATTCAGTTCTGTTTCATTCATCAGGTCTCATAATCATTGCCATAACAAAGACGCATGAAGTATGTCTCTGTTTCCTTTGCCAATAATTCATAGAAGAGTGACATTTTGAGTCAGCTGATTATTTCGCCAAAGCATGATGCTTTGGGGAATAGTTAACTGAGATATTTCCAATTCTTATGGTGAAACGTTTGAGCTTGTCCATGAGAAAATGTTAAATATACTTTGAATGCAAATGAATGCAATGTGAGATTAACACTTTTTTTTGGTAAAATATAAAGTTCTGTTATTTATCATTGTTTTGTTTTGTTTTTTTCCCCCCATAACTTATATGACAACATTTCACAAAATGGTCTAGATGGACTGGAAAGAGAGTTTTGCGTTGTGAACATTAGAGTGTCAGTATTTTAAAATGTCCATCAAACCTGACAAATGTTAATATTTTGCCACGATTTCTTTCTTTTCAGAAATCCTCAGAGGACAGGATAGCAGAAATGGAGCGGTTACATTCAGAGGCTTTGGCTAACAAAGAACAGGAACTGAGTGCCCAGATCAAACAAGCTGTGGTATGCCTTAGTTTTAATTTCTGTTGTAACTTATGATTAGTTAATGCAAATATTAGCTATTTGGATGTAGGTGTTTCCTAAGCTATTTGCACCATTCCTCTTTATTTATCTCAGGAGCAGTGTCGTGAGGAATTGTTGCGGTCGGCACAGGAAAGAGAACAGCAGGCGTCTCTCGCTCTGGAGGAGGCCGAGCTGCAGAAAGCTGCAATTCAGACTGAGGGAGAGAACAAAGCCAAGGAACTACAGCTAGAATTGGAGTCGACCAGAACGGTGAGTTTATCTGCCACCTTATCTGAGGATAGATCAGCAGGATATCCTTAATGTAGTTGAATAGCCAAATTAACCCATAGATTTGAAGCCAGCATGAATGAGAATGTGAATGAAAGCAATGCCATATCTTAGCACTGTACATTTCTTAAAATTGTCATTTTTTTCCTTTTTACAGAGAATTCAAGAACTCGAGAGTTGTCTAGGTAGCTCGGAGAAGGATTCTGCCAAGTCGGATGAACTCTCTGCGCAACTGGAAGAGCACAGAAAGAAACATGAGGCTGAAATAGCTGCTCTAGAAGAAGCTCATAAGCAAGAGCTAGAAAAGACAAAGACAGAGCAGATAACAGCCCTTACCCAGCAGCCTGATGCTGCTTTGGAGGAGCTTGTGCAGAAACATGAAGGAGAAATTGAATCTATACTGAAAGACAAGGAGGAACAGTTCCATTCTCATGTGGAAGACATGAACAAAAAGATGCTTGATAAACTGAGTGACAAACAAACCGAGATTGAGACCCTGTCTTCTGAGCTTAGTGAGGTACTGAATAGTAAACAACATTTAGAAGAAAGACTGTCCGCTGTGGAGACCACCAGTGAAACCGCAAGACAAGAGTTTGAGGACAGGCTCAAGGAAGAACAAGTAAAATATCAGGCTGAGATTGAAGCTGCGAAACAGAAAGAACAGTCATTTGCAGGGGTGGATAAAATGCTAAAAGAAGAGATAAATCAGCTGAAGATTGTGTTGGAGGAGAAGGAAAAAGCACTAGAGGAACATGCGTTTAGAGAAATGACTTTGCAAGAAGGAAGTGTGCAGTTGGAGGAGCTTCGGCTCAGGGAACAGTCAAATAAAGAGGCCCTTGAGGAATCAAGATCTCAGATTAGCACACTTACAGAAGAACTCCAGCAAACCAAGAATCAAGTGAAAGATCTTGAGCAAACCCTTGAGGCAATGCGTAATGATAGTCGGGAGAAAGAAGTGTGTCTTGAACAAAAGACAAGTGAACTTCAGGAACTTGTGCAGAAGATGGAGCAAGTCAAGAGAGAACTATTGGAAAAAGAAAATTTGCATGCTGCCACCTGCAATACAATGCAAGAGGAGCAAAACCGATTGAGAAAGCAGCTGGATGACCAGAAGAGTTCTCACGAGAAGAAACTTGAGAACATTAGGAAAGACATGGATTGCAAACTGAAATCCCAGGAAAATAAGATGGAGAAATTAAGACAGAAACACAAAGAAGCAGAGGACAAGTTGAAGAAACAGCTTCAGGATCAAGAGGAGAATGCCAAAGCGGAGTTAACCAAGAAAGCTCATGAGATAGAACTGAAAGACCAGCAACTGAAAGAGATGATCCTTGAGATGGCGCAAGCAAGCTCTGAGGGCCTCAGCACCGCCATGTCTGATTTGGAGGCCAATCACAAAGAGCACTTAGACAAGCTTCAGCTGACTCATAAACAGGAGCGGGAAGATCTTATTCATCGCTGGCAGGAGAAACTCAACCAAAATGAGGAGGAGTTGCAAGAAAAACATGCTCAGTCTTTGCACGAAAAAGCCCAAGAGTTGGAGGAGATCTCCCAGCTGCTTTCGGCCAGCAGGGAAGAAAAGGAACAGGTTATGAAAGACATCCAGAACCTCAGGGAGGAGCTTGCCATGAGGGAAACCACTGTGCAGAAACTACAGACAGAGCTCAGAGAGGCTGCAAGCAAGCTGCAAAGTTTATCTGAAGTGGAGGGTTTACTTAAAAGACAAGCCGAAACCATGGAGAAGAATCTGAACCAGGCCTTGAATGAAAGAAACCTTTTGCAGGACGAACTGAGAAAGGCTGAGGAAACTAGTAAGGAGAAACTGCAGAGCATATCTGAAGAGTTGGTACACACCCAGCAAAAGTTGAATATGCTTGAAACGTCCAAGTGTAAAGAGGGTGAAGATCTCCAGAGGACACTTGAAGAAAAAATGGCTGAACTCCAAAATAAAGAAAAAGAGTTCCAGGCACAATTGTGTGCCATCCCAAAAGAATTTGAGCAGTGTTGTCAGGAAGCCCAGGCTAAGTTAGATGGCTTCTCTGTTGACCTGTGTAAGAAAGTTGAGGAACGTGTTGGGGGGTTACAACGCCGGGTGATAGATCATCAGAAAAAGGTCACATATCTAAGAAATATTATCATGATGAAGGACAACAGAATTAGCACTGTAGAGAAAGAACTTCAGCAGACTTTTGATGAGAACCATAATCTAAAGAGCTCTCTTGATGAAGTGACTCTTCAGTTAAGTTCAAGTTCAGAGACTCTTAAAGCCTTACAGACCGAAAGGGAGTCTCTGCAAACCAATGCAGATGATCGCTCCCAGGCACTTTCTGAGAAAGACCTTCAAATCAAGCAGCTCTGTGAGGAAAAAGAACACATATCAGAAAATCTCAAAGCAAATGTTTTGCAACTCGGCAATCTAGAATCTGTCATAAATGACTTGAAGACCCAGTTAGCAAGTAGCATAACTGAGAAAGAACAAGCCATATCTCTGCTGAATCAGCAGCACAATGAGGACAAGGAAAGAGTAACATGCCAAATGGGGGAGATGGTGGAAAGGCTAGAAAAAGAGAAGACCTCGCTTCAAGAGCAGGTATACTCACTCAGGAATAAGTTCTCTGATCTGAAAAAGAAGTTCAGTCAGAGTCACAGCACTGTTAAGTCTCTTCAAGATAAAGTTGCAGACATGGAGAGGCAGATTGCGGAGAAGGACGAACAACTTCAGATGCTCACTGCCAGCATTGACAATCACTCCATTACCAAGTCCGAGATGGACCAGGCTCTTAGTGAGAAAGAACAGAGGGTTCATGCCTTGACCTCAGAGCTGGAAAGCTGCTCAAAAAAAGTTTGTGATCTGGAGGAGCAGCTAGAGTTGCGGACAAAAGAGCGAGAACAACTCGCAGCTGATTTGCAGCAGCACCTTACCATTAGGGAGAACGAAAAGATGGAGTTGATGAAGCAGGTGCAGGAAGCTCAGGACCAAAGCTCTCAAAACGGGGCCCTAATCCAGAAAACTGAGGAAAGTTTTCAGTCTTTGAGGAAAGACGTTGAAACAGCTAAGCAGGAACTGGAATCCCAGCGGAATGACTTTGAGAGGGAGAAGGCTGAGATCCTGAGCGTGAATGAAGAGGCTGTGAAGGCAGCCCAAGAAAAGGCGTCCACCAAAACGGCTGGTAAAGTAGCTGAGTTGAAGAAGAAGGCAGAGCAAAAGATTGGCATGATTCGTAAACAGTTGACGTCACAAATTGAGGAAAAGGAGCAGGCTATCAAAGACTTGCAGACGCAGTTGGAAGGCATCAAGCAAACCCAGAATGAAAAAGAAGAACGTATAAAGTCTCTAGAGGAAATTGAGAGGACAATGGAGGAGGCCACTGCAAAATTAAAGGAAGAGCATGCAAAACATCTACAAGAATTGCAGCAGAAAGAAAACGAGGAAAGACAGGCCTCTCTGCAAAACTTAAAAGATATGTATGAAGAGACGCTTGCTGCTCTTCATAAAGACATTTCTGCAAAAGGGGAGCAATCTGCTACTGCTGCTATAGAAACTTCTTCAAGACTTGGAGAGCTTGAGACCAAACTCTCAGAATCTAATGAGCAGATTGCAAACTACCAAACTGAGGTAAGTCGCCTTAAAGCAGACCTGCTTGAACAGACAACTCGAGTGCAGGAGTTAGAGCAGACATGCTTGGATCTTCAAGAACAGATTAAGGAGAAACAGATTGATGAAGTTGAGAAGGAACATGTTTCTGTGCAAATGTCCAGCAGTAGATTAGGAATGGAGCCTGCAATGTTAGTGGCCAAGGAAAACATGGACACTATCAGGAACCAAGATGATTGGACAAGTCAAAAGGACTTGTTGGTGAAGGAATATGAGGAGAAACTCCAAGATTTGCAGCAGAGGTTACAAGAGAAAGAAAATGAGCTAAAAGCACAACAGAGTTCACCTCGAGGAAATGGGGAGACTGTTAATGAGTGCCTAATCAACAATACAAACACCTCAGAGAATGATCTTCAGAGAAAGCTGGTAGAGGCTGAGAATGAGAAGCAGAAGCTCTACAAAGATTACACCAGACTACAGAAAGACCTTCGGTCTCTAAGGAAAGAGCATGAGAAGGAGCTGGAATTCATGAAAAAGGAAATGGCTGAGGAAACCGAGAAGAAGCTGAAGTAAGATTTATGTGACAATTTTAGAGACAGTTTGTGGATAAGGATGCATATATTATGCTACAATAATGTTATCAGGGTTCACATGGTTGATCTTTTTTTTTTAAGGCTTGAAATGGAAGATATGGAAATGAAACAAAATTCGGCTCTTAAGCAGTTAATGAGGGAGTTTAATACTCAGATGGCCCTGAAAGAAAAGGAAATGGAAGGTTCAGTGAAGGAAACCATTGGTAAGACGAACATGTAACTTATTTCTAAGAGTCTCCTAGAACTATTTTCAGGCTCTACTAGGGTTGGGCGATATACCGGTAGACAAGATTAACCAGTAGAAATGTGAACTATCGTCTAACTATCGTCTCTTACACGCTCCAATGGCATTGCTGTGCTACGTGGTCACAAAAACTTTTACACGCATTTTAAGCATTGCGGTTTAAAAACAAGTGATTTTAAGCCGTTGAAATGCAATCAGCAGCGAAAGAGAACTCATTTCGCTATATGTGTGTGATGGCTGAGAAACCGTTTCTAAGCGCTGTCAGAGAGGCGCGAGAAGATGGTGCTCGTAGAGCGTGGGAGTATTGATCGGAGTTATTTTTGCCAATTTATAGGCCTTGAACGGTTAAATACACACACTTGTATATGTCAAAATGCCCATCTTTGCAAGTATCCAGGTCTTAAGTGAAAGCAAACAGCTGAGAAAGAAAACACATATGTAGTGGTATATTGGGTCCGGGCAGCTCTTAAAGTGACAGCAGTCTAATATTCCTTCTGTCTGTCATTCATGATTATCAAACAACAAAAGAGAGAAAATCTCTCACTGCTCTTGACTAAATCACTTTTGTAACTTTAATAAGAATAAATATATATTTCATTTACACAGTAAATAATATGCAGTGTTTTTATACATTTAATTACTTTATACAATGTATGTTGCATTGCTTTTGTTCTATTGCTTGTAATTAGTTTCTTATTCTTATTTAATTGCTGACTATTTACTTGTCATGAGTGAGCTTGATTTTTTTTCTTAGTAGTTTTTTGTGATATTGACACTGATGTCAAGAATTCTGAAATTTCTATGTTATCAAAAATGTTGATATGATAAAGACCTTGTCATATCGCCCACCCCTAGGATCTACAGTACAAATGTACTGTTTATTGCTCATGCATGGTAGTTCTGTTTTCTGGACACTACTATGATGGCTATAAAACCATGGCATGGCGTTCTTTGGAGTACATTGTGGTAAGATGAAAATGTAGTAACCATACAGTGCAATTGTATATATTAGGTCGTTTAAATATTTAAAGGGATAGGTCATTAGAATATTTAAAGGAATAGCTCATCCAAAAGTGAAAACTTGGCAGCATTGGTCCACATTTATTTATTTATTTATTTATTTTTGTATTAAAGGAGCATTGTGAACATTCTGCCTGACATTTTTTTTGTGTTCCATGGAAGAAAGAAATTCATATTGCTTTTGGAGCAATGTGAGGACGTAAAAGACAGAATTTTCACATTGGAATGAAGTACTCCTTTGAGTAAAACTTTAAATTAATACAGTTAAAAATACTGAATAAGATCAAGTACAGAAGTCTTGGAAAGCACTGTGGACATGAACGAACTGTGTTTTCATAGTTCACATTTGCTGATTTACTGGCCTCAGGAAATATGAAATTTGAAATTCATGATTGGTTTACCGTGTGTTTTCAATCCTGCCATGTAATGCATCCAGTCTGGAAATGAGTGGTTTACACTCAGAGATGGTAACTTCATGGTGACCTTCATGTCTTCTTACTGTACTTTCCTGTTTATTATTTCCACACAGAGAAAGCTCAGGGTGTTGAAGCTGAGCTTATAACTAGCCATCGAGAAGAAGTCAGTCAACTTCAGAAAACAATCGCTCAGAAGGAAGAAGACCTAAACAGAACGGTTCAGCGTCACGAACAGGTCCTTCAGGTACAGCAAAATAATGTGAAACTGTATCTTTTGTATGTAATTGTGAGTTAATGACCAGCAGATGTATTATACGTTCAACTTTATAGAAAGTCACAGGAAGAATTTTGTGAGGAGTTTATTGCTTTTGCTAAATTCCCCCACATAAATTCAGTAAGTTCAGGTTTCAGCTAATAGTTTGTGTATCATCAGGAAACACTTACCTCATTCAACTAGCACCTCACACTCTCCCTAGAGCTGTAAGGAATGATGCACACCTTATGCTGCTTACATCCATCCTGACAGAGAAGTATGCTAACTATTTGTGATAGGATTATTTCCGTATCTTATAGATCTAATTGTTTACCCATGCATTTTAAGATCCAAGTTTATGACCTGAAAATGAATACAGTATGGCAGCACTGTAAAATGATTCGGACAGAAAGGGCACATTTGCTCAGAGTTTGGTCTTCCTGTAGAGTCGTGAGGTGGAGATGGGCGACCACGTGTGGGAGGTGCAGAAGGAGCTAGAGGAGCTACAGCAGAGGAGTCTCAGCGGCCCTCAGGTACAGCCAGTTTACACACCATATCCTACTGGGAGCTATTTATTTTTGTATTTTGTATGGGTATGCATTAAAATTAGAGTTGTCGTTTTTATTTAAATGTTAATTTTATGCAAATGTAATTCTTAAAAAACAATGCAATTAAACATGCAATACAATTTTTTTATTTATTTTTTTTACGTTTATATCATATCTTGTAATTTATATGTAATTTATAATAATAATTATTATTATTTAATATATAATAAAAAATACTTAATATAATTATATATAATTTAATTTATTTTTGATATATATATATATATATATATATAATTGAAAGTAAATTTATTTTAAATAATATAATACATTTTATTAAAATGTATCTGAAAGCCATAATTAAAGTAATAAATCTTCTGATGTTTTTTCTCTATTTTTGCCATTAGCTTGAAGCATTAGTGTTTGCTCAAGTTATACTTCATGTTTGTTGAGCTTCAACAATGAATCTAACATACAAAGTGTAGTTTCCCATCTAAATTTGATTTATAAATAAATTAACCATTAAAGTCATAGTTCTCCCAAAAAGTTAAGTAAATGATAGCAAAATCTTCATACTGTCAGACACCTGTCCTGCTGTTCTTATTCTGAGCTGAAATCTTTATTTTATTTTTTTGCATGAATTACTTTGTAGTGTTCCTCATTTGTAAGATAAAAGTATCTGGTTAATTAATGAATATAAATGTAAATCACAGAATCAAAATGTTGAAATGTCAAATCAGGTGGATGTGTTACCAGTGATAAATTTAATGATATTAAATATATATATATTAACCTACGAAGTTAACCTGGACAGCCAAGTCTTACAAGGTACTGTCTTAGTCTTTAGTCACATAATAGACTTACTTTTTCAGACTCTAAGTTGCAGTATAATAGTCTCAATCCAGAATAGGAAAAAGGAATGAATTCCTGAAAAGGCTTGGAATGCGTCCCTGAGAAAGGGGCCCTAAACAGACAGTCTCTGTTCTCAATTAACCCCTCAGAGAGCATCCTGAGCTGTTAGATTTATGCCGTGATGCCGCTCTCAGGCGAACACTGCATGCTTGGAAAGAGGCAAAAAGTTGAGCCTTGTACAGGATAAAGTGGTCCTCATGTGTGTTCGGTACGGTTACAAGGCGCTCTCTCACAGTGCACCTCTGGAGCCCATGCTGCATTTTTGCAGTCTGATGTCACAAGTCTGTGGGCAAACGCAACTCAGAAAAAAATGTTGTATGTTAATATTTGCATAATAATGCAGTTGTGTGACCTGCCGATTCTGTTTTGTGTTTCAGGGTCTTGAGGAGTTAAAGGTAGGTTTTATTTCCTTCTGTTTTTCTGATTAATTCCCATCGACAGTCTAACTGGTTGACTGTTGTAAAGACTGCTCAATATTAAGATTTTTTTCAGTAAGAAATTCATACTTTTATTCAGCAATGATGCATTAAATTGATCAAAAGTGACAGTAAAGAGATTTATAATATTACAGAAGATTTAAATGCTGTGCTTTCATTCATCAAAAAATCCCAAAATCACAGTTTCCATAAAAATATTGGGCAGCACAACTGCTTTCAACACTGATAATAATAAGAAATGTTTTTTGAGTGTCAAATCAGCATATTAGAAAGATTTCTGAAAGATCATGAAACACTGAAAACTGGAGTAATCATGCTGAAAAATCAGCTCTGCATCGCAAAAATAAATTACATTTTAAAATATATTTAAATAGTGAATAGTTATTTCAAATTGTAAAAAATATTTAACAATTTTACTGGTTTTACCGTATTTTTGATCAAAGAAATGCAGCCTTAATGAGCATAAGAGACTAACCCAATGTTACAAAGAGTTTTGTTCCTCAAGATGTTGCTTTTACTTTCCACTTGTTTATATTTTTGACCTCTGGTCTTTTTCTCTTTGTCCAATCAGGTTCAGCTTGCAGAAAAGACGACCATGTTGAGCGAGGCCAGGCTAAAAGAGCAGGAATACCACGACAGGGTAAGTGAAGAGAAGTACTAACAGAAAGACAGAGAGCTTAGCTTGTTGGGTGTCTGAACCACTAAACAGGTAGCTAGCTATAAACATTGTTGACAGTTTAACTAACTTCAACTCGCTCAGCAGGATTCTCATGCTCTTCCATGACAGCAGTTGACCTGAACAAGAAAACTTACCGTAGTAGAAGCTAGAAATGCTTGCGTTTGCATGCTTGCACATAGTATGTTTTAGGCCTAAGAAGTGTTGGCAAATGACAACTTGAGAAGCACACAAAGACAAAGTAGAAGGCAGAGAGAAAGAATGAGAGGAGCGTTTACCAACCGTCACATTCCCAGAGCTCCTGCACTCCTCCAGCTGTGTAAAACCGAAATAAGATTAGATTCATTACACCGCACATCTGTTTACTCTTATTTCACCCTTACAAACAGTTACAGCAGCGCTCATGCTGTTTCTCTCGCCCCACACGAACGCAAACTCACACGGGGAGGCACACACTGGACATACCTTTATTTTTATACCCCGGCTTCACCCTGGGCCATACATTGTTGTTCATTTGAGGACTAGTGTAGGGGAAGTTAACTCTTGTGCTGTGCAGAAAATCCTAACCTAATTTGATGTTCCTTGTCAGAAATGACTGGCCTTTTAAAAACTGCTCAAATCTCTCATCATGCTATATTATCGGCAAATCTTGGATTCAGTATTTTTACCAACTTGTTTTCTTTACATTAGCACAGGTTTTGTATTTGTTTTTGGAACTGATTGATTGTAGGTTTCACTGATCTGAGCTTATGCACCTCAGCTTTGGAGTGGGAAAAAAAGGTTGTTTGTGGATCATTTTGGCAATGTTCACTCAAAAACTGAAGTGCATAAACTCAGATCAGTGAGGCCTACGATCAGTCAGTTCCAAAAACAATTTCAAAACCTGTGCTAATTGAAAGAAAGCAAGTTGATAAAAAGATTGAATCCAATATTTGGTGATAAAATAGCATAATGAGAGATTTATAAGCAGGTTTTTTGACCACAAGTGTTATTTTTGGGAAGTTGTTTTATCCTGTGTGAGCAAAGTCAATCAGTTTTAGTTCTATGCAATAATATCAACTAGCATTTTCAGGAAAAAGAAAATCCTGTCCAGTCGCTTTGGATAAAAGGATCCGCTAAATGCATTAATGTATTATGCATATTTGCATTTCTCATGTCCTCTTGTTTAATTTCTAAAACTTTTATACAAATTAGAGCCCAACCGATATATCGTTTTGCCGATATTATCGGCCGATATGAGCCTGTCGCCGATATATCGGTATCGCCGCCGATATGAACATTTTTTTACAGAACATATAACGCAGATAAAATGCTTGAAATGGTGTAATTACTTAGTATGTCCAGCAGAACGCACTCCATTGTTTGCTACTGGCGACCTGGATGAAAACCTTTAAAGCTTTGTCTATGGAAAACCATTGACGGCCCCAAAAAACCCATATAGGTCGGGCTCTAATACAAATATAGACACCAACTTGAGTTCTTTAAGATCAGTTTTGCACTATATATGTGTATTATTTATTTTCAGATTCGTGCACTAGAAGACAAACTAAGACGCTCCCATAAAAACACAGTGGTGACTCACCTGGGAAGCTCATATAGAGGTAAATAACCGTAAACATTTTCTATAAAGATGGCTTTTGAATGCTATATCGTCTAGCTGTGGGCAAGCAGAACAATGTTTCTAAAACCAGCTGTTATCTAGATGTAATTTACTGTCTTATTATTTGTTTGAAATATGAATTTAGGGGTTTTAGCCGCCTAGTGACAGTAAAATGCTTGTCAAGTATCTCCTGTAACTCCCAGAGGTTAATGAATGATGTGGCACACTGACCCTTGGCAGATAAACCTCACCTTCATTCTCACTAGCTCCGGGCGATCAGTCACCGCAGGAGAGCTGTGCTTTAACACCCCGCTATCAATCACGCACATATGCAGAGCTTAAACATATGGGCAGCTAGAGGAGAAAATCTGCCCCTCCACAGCCCTTTCCTGCTGGTGTAATAAAGAGCTCATCTCTGAATCTAATGCTTTACACAGACCGCATTTCTCCCCAGTTCCCACGAATGACCCCAGATTCAGACGATCTGCTGTGTCCTTTATACTTGCATTCGGACAAGAACAGTGTCAAGATCAGCATCAAAACAACGCCTTTTGTGTTACTTGGAGGAATGAATGTCATTTGGGTTTTGGGTGTGAAAATGCAGACTAAATTTGTATTTTTAGGTGTGCTAGTCATTTAACGACAATATAAAATTACGTTGTAAAGCATATGCATTGCACAATCATGTTTTTAAATATTCACTATTGTTTTAGAAAGAAATGAACACTTTTCCATCAAGGATGCATTCAATTGTGACTTTAAAGACATTTATAATGTTACAAAAGATTTCAAATAAATGCTGTTCTTTTGAACTTTTTATTCATCAAAGAATCTTAAAAAATAACATTTATCACAGTATCTACAAAAATATGAAGCAGCACTGCTGGTTTTACCTTTGATCATGTTTCTTGAGCAGAAAATCAACATATCAGAATGATTTCTAAAGGATCATGTAATGTTGCTGAAAATTCAGCTTTGATCACAGGAATAAATTACATTTTAAAATGTATTCAAATAGAAAACAGTTACTTGAAACTGTAATAATATTTCAAAATATTACTGATTTTGAAAGCTTGAAATGAGACGTTTAAGGGACCGATTTTGAACACTAAAAGGCAGCAACCTTGGTAGACTCGACTCTCAATTTCATCACAATTTGACATTAACAAGTTGCTAAGATTAAAAAGAAACACCAGTTAGCACAAAATACATAATGCACCATTATGGGTTAAATTTGCGTCCTTTGTGCAGTTCTAATTAAATTGACAATCTTATTGGATAAATCAAAATTCCTGGAATTCATTTTTTTCTTTTCACAGATATTGTTGCAATGCTTTCTGCAGTTGCTTTATCTACAAAATATACTTGCAATGCTGAATTTGTCAGTCTTCATGTTGGGAGTGTGTCTATGATGCCTTACAATGCTATCTAGTTAGGTGGCTCACTAGGTTTTGGAACAGAGCCATCCTCTCTCTGCTCATAAACCACATTAATTATCCTTCTGAATATATTCCCAGATGACTTTGTCCTTTGAAGATATCTCCATCTCTGACATGCAGCTAAACAATCCATCTTCATACACAAACAAACCCGTCCGTTTATCCTCTCTGTTCTTCAGCTTATCTGTGTGGCCTCTACATTAAAGGGACAGTAGCTTATGAAGTCTTTTTGACCTTCTGACTGCCTCCCATGAATTACTCATTATTCGTTCACAAGAGACACGCTGCCTCAGAAATGCCCCATAAACGACCTGGTTTTTCTGTCAATATGGGGTGCTGTGTGTACATTAATGAGGAAAAAAAATTAACTTAAATGATTTTAGCAAATGGCTGCAATATAACAAAGAGTGAAAAATTTAAGGGGGTCTGAATACTTTCCGTACCCACTGTATGTTTGATAGAGTACTGAAATAATTTATGGTGGTACTTTGTTTTCTCTGCATTGATTTCTGTATTATTTATGGAGTTTGTTCATTATCCATTCAACAGTTTAAGCATGTGCTAATGGCGGTCGTAAACCAGTCCATCTGTATCATTCAAACAGCATTGTTCTGGAGACGAGACCGATCGGTGTGGCCCGTGTTACGTCCCTGTTGGCCCAGCTGGGCTGATCTGGGGTCAGTAGGACAGGTCGGGTTATTTATTAGCCCCTCATTTCTCCATGCTTCCTGATCAAAGGCCTGTTTGGGTTTCAGTGGCACCTTGAGTTCCAGCTCTCTCCGTCAAGCCACCTTAGTGTCTTCAGCACTGGTTAAATGGGCTTTTCAGAGAGACACACGACTCCTGCTAATTGCCAGTCAATCACAAGTTTAATGAGGCAAGACTGATCGGTTGTACCTCCTGCGCTGTTTGTGCACGCTAGATACTGTAATGCAAAAGTCAGCGTCACTTAAAAAACTAATTGCTTAATCCTTACATCACTTCCATGAGACGTTACTGAAGATTTACTGCACATCTGGGGTGCTTGTGATGCTTATGATGTTTACCACATGTGCGTATTCTTTTTAGCAAGAGCTTGTACACTATTGTTCAAAAGTTTGGGGTCGGTAAGATTGTTTAAATGTTTTTGACAGAATCCACTTCTGCTCACCAAGGCTGCATTTATTTGATTAAAAATACAGTAAAAATGTCAAATATATAATAACCAGTTTTATATTTTAATTTATTTGAAAATGTAATTTATTCCTGTGATCAAAGCTGAATATTCAGCATGATTACTCCAGTCTTCAGTGTAACATGATCCTTCAGAAATCATTCTAATATGCTGATTTGCTGCTCAAGAAACATTCTTATAATTATCGATGTTAAAAACCGTTGTGCTGCAGTGCTTCATATTTTTGGGAAATCCATAATACATTTTTTAGGATTCTTTACTTAATAGAAAGTTCAAAAGAACAGCATTTATTTGAAATAGAAATTATTGTAACATTTGAAATGTCTTTTTTGATCAGTTCAATGCATCCTTGCTGAATAAAAGTATTAATTTCTTTAAAAAATAACTTTTTATGCAAATAAGTATTTTTGTCATTTATTATGTGCATCTAATACATCATTTTCGTGAGGTACAGAATTGTGTTCTTCTCCCTAATTAATATAAACAGTTTCTAAATGAGACGAGTTAGGCGTGGTGGTTGAGCTGAGCTGGTTAATGTTGGGTTGTTCTCTTTACGTCATGTTTTCCATGGTATCAACAGCGCAGAAACCTGCCCCGCCCATCAAAACCCCAAAGATCATGCATGATTCTACGCAGACGCTACAGTGGGAAACGGAAAGGCCACCACCTCGACTGAGCCAAAGCTTCTTGTATTTAGCCACAATGCTGTCATTATAGTGTTCCAGCGCTGCTGCGAGCCGGCGCTCTTAACTACAGCCGCTGGAAGTGAGGCTCGTCTAGCGCTCTGATTTACAGACTGATTATTGCCACGCAAAGGTCGCGGGGTGTGTGTTTAATGAATGTATTGAGTGTACGAATGCTTGCTTATCTTATTGATGTCAAAGCAAGGGAAAATTGTCCTCAATCACCAGCACACATTCTGAAAGATTAACTCTTGCTATCGCTCATACTTCAGATTTGAATCAACCCCCTAAACTGAGGTATTAAACTCGGACTCATAATTTCTTCTGCACGCTTAAAAATAGAGGTTTGAAAAAGGGGGTTTTCACAACAGTGCCACAGAAGAACCATTTTTGGTTCCCAGTTCATAGAACCACTTTTTTTCTTTGTGTGAAGGACATTTTAATAATCTAAAGAACCTTTTTCCACTATAAGAACCTTTTGTTAAATGGATGTTAAAGGTTCTTTATGGAATCATTGCCAGTAAAAAAACTTTTTTATAAGTGTGCACTAGCATCATGGTATGTATATGTATATATATATATATATATATATATTATACATAATATACATATTCAATCTAAAAGTCTAGTTGCATTTGTAGCAATGCATATATTTTCATTTTTTCATATCTGATCATGTGATTTTCTATTATTTACATCCTCTCCGACTCTCTTGGTTCAACTCTTAGAAGATGATGGTTGGTGTTGAGTGTTTGGAGGATTTATAAGTTCGTCATCTGGCTGCTCTGGTTTTGATTATGTTCAGCAGAACAGCCAAGTTTTTGTACAGGCTGCCTCTAAAACCGAGCTTAATGTCTCTAGTGCTCTTAGATACTCTGATAATGGTTATGATGAATCTGCTGTTTGTTTGTTTCTACAGATTTGTCACACAACAGCGCGGACCCCTTCAGCGAGCCGACCGAATTCGAGTACCTCAGGAAGGTCATGTTTGAGTACATGATGGGAAAAGAGACAAAGGTACATTTTAGGGGTTATTATTACACTTTACGATGACGTCATTACTGTTATGCAGTATTATTTGAACATAATTGTTTAAATTACCCTTTTTATTAAGAAAAAAAAGGTATAATAGAAAATGCAGAAATATATTCTGGTCAAGCGTAGGCACTCAGAAACTTTATTAATATATCATTTTAATTTAATTTATTAAAACTTAAAAAAAATGTAAGTAAATAATTAAATGGCAACGATGGTTAACGTGATAAATATTAATCTAAAGTTAGGGGTTTGCTTAGGGTGTTGTTATTGTTTGCCAAAACTATTGAAAATCATGTTTATTTAAATAAAGCTGAAATAAAATGAATTATAAATATTAGATGGAAAAACTTAGAAATGCTGCTTTGGCAACTAAAAGTTAAATAAGTTGAAGTGCTAAAATTACTAAAAATGAAATTAAATAAATAAAAGCTTAGTAGAAAGATTTGAAAACTTGTAAACGCATATACAATTACTAAAATTAAGAAACAAATACAAATTTAAAACAAAACCTGAAAATATAAAAATAAAAGCTCATTTAAAATATTAATAAATGCTAAGTAGATACTAAATAAATAATAAGTAGTAGATAAATAATATTAAAATAACGTTGATTTGAGAGTGACAAATTCCAGCATTTTTTTTTTTTAAACCATCTTTTGAAATATTGGTAATATCAGCTATTATGCCTTAATATATTTAGCCAACATATTAAGATTATGGGCACAAGAAAATTTAGCTACGGATAAACAACTATGTTTAAAATAATAATTATGTGTTTCCATGTTGTAAAACTTTCATATTATCTTTCCCACAATGCACAGTTTTCCCCCACATAATAATGCCGTTTGTTAGAGGAAGGATGCAGTAAATAAGTGTGACGGGGAGTCCGGATGGAAGCCTGTAAAATTATTCATTCCCATGAAAACTCCCACCAGCGTTATTTTGTGTCCGTTTAGCAGGACCCTAATGAGCGAATCTTGTCCGTTTAGCCAGGACTAATTAACGGCCCGGTTGTCGCCGCCCTGAAGCCAGCGGGATCCCCCCTCGCTGCTAATAAACAGTCGGGTCCTTATGACATCACAACAGGCCTCCCTGTCAGAGAGGATGTCCGGCGGGCGGCCCGGTGGCTCGTTCTCATCACATGACCCAGTAGCGCCTGCCATTTAAGAGAGTTGCTCGGGGTGAACGGCTGCACTGGTTCTGATTAGCGCCACATACAGGCGCTGGCAGATCTGTCTAGGGCTGATTACCCAGCAGGCTGCAGATAATGAGCGTTTTGTCTTTGCGAGATATAATTGCTCACAGAAGAGTGCGGAGCAGCAGATCTGCTAAAGATCGGCGGCAGCGTTGTTGTTAACTAAAACTATTAAACATTGTTTTAATTAATTGAAGTAAAGCCAACTTAAACAAAAAAAAAAAGTTTAGAAATTAGAAAAACTGAAATATATGAATTGAAATAAAATACGTTTATGTACCAAAATTCCTAAAACTCCTAATGGAAATAAAAAATCATGCTAATTAGATTTTGTGTTTGTGTGTGTATGTGTATATATATATATAAAAAATTAAAAAAAAGACAAAACACAACAAAATTATTAAAACTTACATTAAACTTAACACTTGAAATATAAAAATAAATAAAATAATATATAAAATATAAAAACAAAACTAAAATGTAATTAGAAAAAATGTATAAAATAATAACATTAATTTATTATAATTATTAATTTATGTTATTAATACAATTTATAGAAATTAAAATTAAAATAATAGCTACTATAATAGTATATACAAATTTCTAAAATTACACTGAGTATTGTTTTCTGTAAATACTTTGTTTACATTCTTACACAAAATTTCATAAAGCAAACTATAATAGTGTCAGAACATCCATGTGTGTACATGCATGTATGCTTCACTAACAAACATAAACACCGGTATTCGGTATGAACCGGTATACCGCCCAGCACTACTTCACTCCTTCATGTTGTTTTACTATTAAACTGTTAACACCAACCTATGATATGAGACTTGTTTAGTTAAATAAAGACCTGATAGGAGAAGTAAAATTATGTAATCATTTTAAAGGGACAGTTCACCTAAAAATAAAAATCATCTGCCATCATGGGGAAGTCGTGGCCTAATGGTTAGAGAGTCGGACTCGTAACCCAAAGGTTGCGGGTTCGAGTCTCGTACCGGCA